TGGGATCACATGAAGGGTAGGCGCATCGATCCTGCATCTTCCATTAAGAAAAAGAAACAGAGGGGATATGATAACCCATATCATATCACAGTTATTTCCGGGCCTTTGTTTCACCTGTGGTTGTTTTAAAGTTGGTACGACAGAGAGACGAACCATTGCTTCAGCTCTGCAAGGATCAAGCAGATCAAAGATGTTCAGTTATAAAGAAATCTGCTAACAGCATGATGGACATTTATTTTTAGGACAGATTCTGAACCAAGAATGAGAACCAGCTGTGAAGTAGTGTCGTCTTTACATGTTTTCACATTTAACGAGACATTTTTAACATGCTGAGTGTCATTTGGTGGAGCAAATATTTGATTTTAGAACCGTCTAATATAAATCCTGTCAGATAAAGGATCTACTGTCTGAAACTTTCATCAGCCATAGAAACATGCATGACAGATTATGAGAGTGATGAGAGGAAAGAGTTTGTCAAACCTGACTGTCCTGATTTTCAGTCAGTGTCACAAAAGCTCTGCACCTGGAAGGAGCTCTGAGTTAATCTGGACTCCAGGAGACGGAAACATTTCTGAGCAGGTCTGCTTGTTTTATTCCATGTAACTACATTCTGCTTTTATATTTCTACGTTAAATTCTCGTATTTTGGCCATTTTTGCTGCATTTTGTTTTGCTGATTTTATGAAGATTGTTTGCTTTAGCAATCATTTTGATCAACATTACACCTGGTTTTACACAGAGTGACTAAATATTGTTGTAAAAGCTGCAAAAATAGTTTCCCTCCATCAGTTTTATGAAAATGAAATCCAAATAAATTCTGTGATCAAATCAGTAACATGTTTGCATGAACTTCTCAAATGAGCTTTATTAGATTTTTAAATTTTACTTTTTGTCCTCTAATCAGTGAAAACTCACTCTTTCAGGTATTTATTAACACATTCACTTAAAAGTTGATGTAAACAAAGAGACTTTAATGCAAAGTGGATGTTTCATTGACGTTTGGTCTGAGACGTCTTACAGCGAGTGAAGGAATGCAGACGGATTGGTCTTTCAGGAAGAGAACAAAGGAAACAGAGCTGTTTGGTTTGAAACTGGAGAAAAACATTTTACACCCCCCTCTTCTCTTTCTCTCTCTACTTCCCCTTGTCAGAGGAGGGAGATGTGATTGCTCACCATTTCTTAGGAAAGTTAAAGTTCAGCAATAAGGCCTTGGTCACCTCTGCTCTCCTATCAGTTCCTCTTTCCCCCTGACTTTTCACCTACCATCTACCTCCAACACATCAGTGACCTTTGATTAGTTACACATTTTACACCATTTCAAGTTCAATGTCAAAATCACATTTATAACCCCTTAGTTTTTCTGATTTAGCATTCACTTATAATATTATAATAACCATAACTTATTAGTTACTCTTATTATAATCATGATGTGAGTTATTACAGACATTTCTGAAAATAAACCAAGAATAATCCATTATTCTAATTATTTGATACCAAAGTTACAGTTACTTCTTTCACCTGTAAGTATTTCCACAAGTGTAAAAGTAAGTGCAAAGGTAACTTTATGATTATTAAACTAAAATCTCCAGCATGGGGAAGTGGGATGAGCTCGACTTTTCTCAACAACCCTGATGTTACTATCTCTAGGAGTTTCCAGTTCCAACCAGTAGGGGGTGCTGTGGCCCAATTTATTCAGCAAGAAAACATTTCTCAGACCATCTGCTGCTGCCTGATATGAAATGAAACACCTGATCATTTATATAGGATATAAAATGTTTTAAGAATTACCATAGGAAGGAGGAGCGAGTGCAAATATTTGATTTTAGAAGACAGTCTGATATAAATCCTGTCAGATAAAGGATCTACTGTCTGAAACTTTCATCAGACATAGAAACATGCATGACAGATTATGAGAGTGATGAGAGGAAAGAGTTTGTCAAACCTGACTGTCCTGATTTTCAGTCAGTGTCACAAAAGCTCTGCACCTGGAAGGAGCTCTGAGTTAATCTGGACTCCAGGAGACGGAAACATTTCTGAGCAGGTCTGCTTGTTTTATTCCATGTAACTACATTCTGCTTTTATATTTCTACGTTAAATTCTCGTATTTTGGCCATTTTTGCTGCATTTTGTTTTGCTGATTTTATGAAGATTGTTTGCTTTAGCAATCATTTTGATCAACATTACAGCTGGTCACAGAGTGACTAAATAAAGCTTCAAAAAAATAGTTTCACTTCACCAGTTTTATGAAAATTAAATCCAAATAAATTCTGATTAAATCAGGAAAATGTTTGCATGAACTTTTCAAATGAGCTTTATTATTTCGTCCTCTAATCAGTGAAAACTCACTCTTTCATGTATTTATTAACACATTCACTTAAAAGTTGATGTAAACAAAGAGACTTTCATGCAAAGTGGATGTTTGATTGACGTTTGGTTTCAGCGAGTGAAGGAATGCAAACGGTTTGGTCTTTCAGGAAGAGAACAAAGGACACAGAGCTGTTTGGTTATTTCAGAAATGCTTCTCCCTGCCAGCATGCCTAGGTGGGCCCCATATGGGGAAAAGGAGGGCAGACCAGATGGGTCCCATATGGGTTTGTCCATGTAGGGCCACAGCCTACGTGGGCCCTAAATGGGAAAACCCATGTGGGACCCATCTGGTCTGCCCTCCTTTTCCCCATATGGGGCCCACCTGGGCAGGCTGGCAGGGTCTTCTTTGGTTGCTTTTCTTCTCCAACCCACATAAGTCAAAGGAAAAGCAGAGATGATTAAATGCTGATGAGGGAATTAATTTGATTCAGCTGTGGAGGAGCATTTAGGATTGGGTTCCTTTTGGTTATTGTTTCTTTACGTTGCTGTCCTTGTTTCAGGATTTCCCCTCTTTATTTTTGTTTTAGATACATTTCCTTTTTCCTTCAGCCTGTCCCTTAGCACAGCTTTTTTCTATCTCATCATCTTTACTCTGCTTGTGCTTTTTCTCCAGTTCCTCGTTTGATTACATTCTTCTTGTTCTTCATCTTTTCTCTTCTTCCTCTATATGGTGGTTGGCAAGCAAAGTTTAGATGTGCATAACCGATGTGCTGGTATGGAGTGAGGATCGGGATGCTAAATATATATTACATTTTAAAACTAAAAAATAAACAAAACATAAGAAAAACAAAACAAAAAACCATATCCTCTATATTAATTTTGTTTTCTATTTAAGACACCTTGGGGAAAAAAAAGCTGGATTACACCCGTCTGCTCCAGATTACCTTTGTTGGGTTCTCCCTGATGTTACGTCTGCACTAGTTTGGAACTGGAGAAAAACATTTTCCACCCTGTTCAAAACACCTGGATGGACCAAAAGCTCATCACCTCCTCTGTTACACCTGCAGCTTCCAAACTATAGTAACCCTCCTATAATCCCCCTCTCAGCTCCTTCAGACTAGCCAGCACCAATTAGCAAACACCTGGCAGAACTGCACATCTGCTGAGCTCATTATAAGAGCTGCTTCTCAGTGCAACGCTGGTAAAATCGTTACTTATTGAAGAGCCATGTGTTAATGACTTCCTGATGGCAGTTTCAGAAACAGCAGGAGTTTTTAAAGAGACAGAGGCCCAATGTTAATGTGTGAAATCAGGAAGTAAAATTTCTTTTAAATAATATTTGATATATACAGAATTTTTAAAACAACAAAAGAAAACACATAATACTGCCTCTGAAGCAGAGTTCAGGTCAAGCTTCTCCAGATGAAGGTTCACTTTGACAAAATGTTTTCTGTCTTTGATCCAACATGTTTGATGTCCTCAGTTATAGACAAGCTGCAGGTTTTCACCAGAGTGTTAATGAAGTGAAATATGATCAGGATCAGATGCTGTGGACGTCCGTCAAAGTGCTGCTGCCTCTCCTCCTCCTCTTCCTCTCTCAGGATGAAGATGATCTCCCTGCTGCTCCTCATCCTCAGCTCATGTCTCTGTGGTCAGTCTCCATCTTGTCTTTGTGACAGAAAGCTCTCTAGATGGAGCTGAAAGACTCCCATGTTCCAGTTCTCAGTGTGTCTGCTCCTCTCTTTCCCTCTCTGTCTCCTCAGCAGCAACATTTGTAGTGAATGTGACCCAGAGCAGCTATGAGGCAGAGGAGAACCACAGCATCACTCTGGAGTGGACCTTCACCACCAGACCAGACTCCTGCTTGAGCTTCGAGTTCATGACCTTCACATTAATAACCGAAAACAAAAAAGTGTCCGTCTTGTTCCATGAGCATGGTGGAGTCGAGGTGTCGCAGTCTCAGGACAAACAGTTTGCAGGACGAGTCCAGAGTGACAAAGAACTCCTTAAAGACGGACGGATTAAACTCCACGTGTCCAAGCTGAGGATCAATGACTCTGGTCTGTATCTGTGTGAAATCCAGACAGATTGTGGCTACGGCTCTGCTGCATGTCGGCTAATAGTCAGAGGTGAGATTACTAAGTAGATTTGAACTGTTTTATCTCTAAAACGCAGCAGAAAAAAATATTAGTGTGTATTTGTGTAATATACAGCAGTGTTGTTATTTTGCTCAAAATATTGAAAAAATGTTGTACACTATTTATGTGAAGGTAATTATTTAATAGCAATTTTGTTTTTAAGAAAATGCACCAAGAAAATCAGTTTTTCTGCCAGTTAAAGGATGGATTGAATTTCTATGAATGATCGTCTCTTTTTTCTTAAATTCTTCTTTCCATTAGCTGGTGACAAACAACCTGAGAGTCCAACTGTGAATGAAAGATGGATGGCTCTCTATGTTTTCCTGGTGTTGGCAGCAGCAGGAGCAGCAGGAGTAGCTCTGTACTGGAAATGGTGTAAGGAATAGTTGAGAGGCGGGGTCACCCTGGACGGGTCGCAGGGCAACACAGAGACAGACAGGACCACCATGCACACACCCACAGAGAATTTATACTGACCAATCAACCTGACAGTCATGTATTAGACTGTGGGAGGAAACCGGAGTTCAAGTTTATAATTTATACTCTGATCACCGATGACAAATTGTCAGTTTTGTCTCATGAACACGACGGAGTCGAGGTGCCGATGTCTCAGGATGCAAAGTTTGCAGGACGGGTCCAAAGTGACAAAGACGTCCTGCCAGAGGGACGGACCAGACTCCATGTGTCCAGACTGAGGACTGAAGACTCTGGTCTGTATGTGTGTGAAATGAAGACGGACGAAAACTTCGGCTCTGCAGCAGCTGAGCTGGTCGTATCTGGTAGGCAGATTTCAGCTCCTCTAAAACATTCAGCATCTGTGAAAAACAAAACAAAAATCTGCTAATTGTGATGTGATAAAATGTAAAGCAGTTCAACAGATATATTTTAGGAAACTTTTGATGTGAACACATTACATTTATGGTCCCAGCACCGTTTGAAGTGTGTCTGCATATAAGCCAAAAATGAAAAGCATCTTCTGCCAGATGTTTGCTGTGTTTCTGACAAAGCAGCTGTTTTTAAAATGAAATGCTTGAGTTATGAATCTCATGGAGTTTTTATGTTCTTTCTGTGGAAGTGTAGACATGCTAAAATATATACTTTTTAAAAATATACTGTCATTTATGTTTTAGATTTCAGTCTAAACCTCCTTAAAAATAGAAAAATAATAACATTTTAGTCACAATGAAGAAATGTGACATTTGCAGCTCTGTAGCCACATCTCAAATTTTACATATTTTCTCTCTTTGATCATCTTCTGGATCATTTTTGATGCAGCACAGAGCCAGGTTTACTTCCTGAGAGGTTTACCTTTGATATGAGAACCTAAAAACAAACTGATCTGGTGATGAACAGGAGTGTGAGTCATTCATCAATTAATGGAAAACATGCAACATAAAACCAGTTTAAATAAGAAAACCCCTGTTATAACAATATTTTTAAAAATATTTTTAAATGAGATTTATAACTGATTAAAACCAAAATTATGTATCTTTGAAATAGTAAAATATTGTAACAGTAAAACTGAAACACTTCAGGGTATATTTTAGATATGAAGTAGAGGAAACAAGAAGCTTTCTTGTTTTAGCGAGACTGTTGTTATAAGGTGGAAAATTTCTCGCTATGAGATTTATTTCTAGTAAATCCTTGGTTAAAACAAAGATAAATATCTTTTCTTTTTCAGATTAAATTTGAACTTCAACTGCATTTTAAAAAATGTGACTTCATTTTTCTTATATGAACCCTGACATGTGACAACATGGTATATATATTTTTTCCTTTTTAAAACATTTACAAATAAATCAGTCTCCTGTGAATTACTTATCCTATTTAGTGCCATAATAAGCCAGTGATTCTGTAAAGGAGTTTTAATTAAAGCCGTTTTCGAAAATATTTTCAGAACTGAAACTTTTCCTTGTAAAAACAATAACGAGTCAGACTTTTTAGTGAACTGCTGCTGTTTGTTGTGAGCTAAAGTTGTCTGACGATCCCTGTAAAATCCTAAAACAAGTAAATGTAGCTCTGGTGAAACAGCAGCGTTTTAGTGCCATATTTACCCGGAAGGAAACAGAAGAACCTGTTCCGGAATCAGTCACGTGGTACGGCCCGCAGGCGCGGCTTCAAACGTCACATCCTGCTCCAGGAACAAAAGCTTCAATACACGTTTCCTTAAAATCCTCCTGGTTTACTCGACACTCGTCCCGAAGCCTCGGCACAGAAAGCACATCGCTAGTGTTAGGAAAATACATTTAAAATATGCTAGTTTTTAAACTTAACTATATGTAGTTGGGGACGTAAGTTTGATTTTATTAATTTTAGCAACAGTTAACCTTGGTGCATGTGAAATATTAGAGCATGAATATTTTGAGTAGATAATGATTCAATTCAAAATGACTGATTTTCTTAACTTACATAAAATCACAAACAGGGTTTTGGAAAAGGGCCTTCAGTAGAGACCGTCTTCCCCTAATAAGAGGAAACAGATGTGCTGTGCTCGGCAGTTCTCAAACAGGATGGGAGAGACAACATGTCTGTTTACTACTAGGTCAAATTCTTTGGTGTTTTCAATGAGGTAAGAAAAACACTAAAATCTTGAAAAAACAAGCAAGGTCTAGGTGAAAAATAAGTCTCTTTCTGGCAACTATAGGGTCTTTGTTCAATTGTTTAGAAAGGAAGGAACTGGGAGAGATTCCAGATGTTACTGGCATGAGAACATCCTGTTTTGAGAGTGACCTTTACTCTCTGCTCTCTGACCTTTGCTCTCTCTTTCTCTTTATCTTTGGTTTCGAATAGGCCTCTCATCCTTTCCAAGTAATTTGAAGCTGCTTAGAGGTTTAGAAGGAGAGGACACACCTACAATGCATATGCTAAAATTAGGACGACACCTCTTAAAGCCTCCACTTCACAGGAGCAAGCCGGATTGCTTTGTTTGCAGCCACACGAGCAGCTGGGCAGTTGCTTTTTCTCTTACTTTTGTTCATTTTTCTACTTTTCTCAGATAATTAATGTCTGTTTTATGGTTGGGTGTGAAGCTGAACTGTGTTTTCTATGCATTTAATTGTCTGAATAAAACTCTAGATATGTCTGGAGTTGAATGCCGACTGGTTGTTCTCTGTGTGGTTTCCACTGTGTACATGCGGAACCCTGAATTCAGGAGACTAGAGGAAAACAACTAGCAAAGAAGCTTAACATTTTATTCCTCTAAAATTTAACACTAGTTTTAGGTAAATATGTGACTATTTGCTTTAAAAATGTCTTCAGTTCCGCCTCAGAGAGAGTTTATCAACGAGCTGTTAACTCCTGCTGAATATCATTCACAGAGTTGGAAGAAATCAGCATCAAGATAGAGGAAAAGATGGAGGATCATCTCAGATGGCTGGATTTCACCCGGACACCGAAGATCATCTTACACCGGATAGGTACGAAACACCTTCACGTTTTACCAGGGCCGTGCAGAGTCCACTAAAGGGGCAGGGGCTCAAAAAAAGGGCACATCTAACCACATTTTAGGACAGAATATGAACAAAGCCACACAGCTTTCAGAGTTTAATAAACAATGATAAATTACAAAAATGTGACATATATAATCAAAGCTAAGGAAAATCTCTATATAGAGCATACAACTATGCAAGAGAGTATATAGACAACTTTCTGTCGAATTTTAATTGGAGTTTGATGGATTAATTGATATTAAACCCCTCCCCCCACTTCCTGTGGCCCCTCCCTGAACCAAAGACTTTATTCAGGGGAACTTTAACATTTGCTCATCGTAAACTCCTCCTGACCTCTTTGGATTAGCCAATAGAAATGGAATAATTTATTTGTAAGTTAGCAGTAAATGGTACATTTTGAATGTATTCACCATCTCCACCCAACCGCCATGCACCTCAGAAAGAATCAAGCGCACTCATCCCTTTCACTTCTCAAGCTCAGCAGCCAACAATGTTTGGAATATAATATATTTGTTCACTTTGTTTAGAGTGTAGTGTAGTTATTTATTCACTGCTAACT